CAAAATACCTCGTCCGCGCCGTCAACCTCTTTGAGAACATGCTGAGCTTCTCCAACCACCTCTCCATGTTCTCGGAAGAGATTGCCCGCAGCGGCGAGCAGCTCGGCAACACGCCCCAGGCTTTCAGTCACTTGGCCCTCATCAGTGCGGCTTTTAATCTGGATCGTGTTACCGGGTTCCAGCGATGATATTCGGTCTGGGGGTTTTTTTTTTTTGAGTGACTTACCGAGTTGGATGGAGTGTGGGAGGGATGAATTTGAGCTTGGATGAAGGTCATGTCATCTTGAGTACCTCTGTTGTACTACCACCTGTTACACAATCAGCCGCGTAAAAGGAGGATGGATCGAGATAAGGGACCCTTGGGGGATTTCTTGGGAATTCTCTGATGGTATTGTCTGACTTCCCACCTTCTTCACCACGTCAAGAGATGTAGCAATCAGTAGCATAACACGGTACATCGGAGAGGGCCCCGCCAGGAGATGCAGTTCATCACATCACACAGTTGGTACATTCATTGCAAAGTCTGACCGAGAAAGTACTTCTATTTTATGTAATTCTTTGATTATGATGGGTATGGGTGACCTCCAACTCCAGAACGCCAGTCTAGGTGAATGAGCTATTTCTGAAACCAAGAAAAAATCATCCAAGCAATTTGAGGCCGTTCTTGGTCTTCTGTCCAGGCTTGATGACACCGTGACTATGCACAGGGCCGAGGTGGGGTTCATACCCGGTACCATCTGCATTCTTGTTTCCTCCGCCACCACCGTTGCCAGAGTGCTTCTTGTTCTTGTTATTGCGGTTGTTGCGGTGGTCCTTGCCCTTGACGTTGGTGATCTTGATCTCCGTGTTCGCCTTGCGCACCGTGACGGGGTGGCTCTGGATGTACTTGCCATTCATCTCCTTGGCAGCCTGGAAAAAGTCGTCGGCGTCGCTGAAGGAGACGAAACCGTACCCCTTGGACTTGGCGGTGCGCTTGTCGCGGATCACGCGCGCCTTCTGTACCGACTGCCATCGCGAAAAGGCCTTGAGGAGGGATTCGTCTGTGACTTCGCCCGCGAGGTTACCGACAAACAGGCGCAGGTGACTCGGGTCCCACTCGGCGAGGGTGTCGTCGGTCCACTTCTTGCCGCCACCCTCGCGGACGACGGTCTTCTTGCGCTCGGGGGGCTGGTTCGCTGCTGCTGCCGCTGCGGCCGCGGCTGCGGGGTCGATGATGGGAGGGGTTGCGATGTTGCTGCCTGTTCCAGGGAAGCCCCCACGACCGCTGGGGACGACCGGGTCTTTACCGCTGGCGTCCTTAGTGCCGTTCGAGCTGTATGCGCTCTGCCACTGTGCTATCTGCATCGCCATGTCCGGGTCGTAGTCGGACGCCGAAGCGGCGGATGCGCCGCCGGCAGGGGCGCCGGTGCCGGGAATCGGGAACGGGTTGCGAATCTGCGGCGCTGCGCCGTAGGTCGAAGGCGGCGCATTGTAGCTCGAGGCCTGGCCGTAACGAGAGCCGGCGCCGGGTTGTGTGTATGAATCGTAAGAGGGCACCGGTGCTCCATAGCGGCCGGCGCCGCCTACCGAGGGCGACGGCGACGGTTGTTGCGAGTACGATGCGTAGGGTGAGCCATAATGGGCGGCGGGCGCGCTGGCATAGGTCGGTGCACTCGAGTAGGAGGTAGGCGCGGATGAGGCTGCAGCTCCGTAGGCGGGTTTGAAGGCGGGCTTGAAGCCTCCGGATGACTTGCTCGGAGGGGGCCTCGCGGGCAGGGAGGGATGAGAAGGTGGATTGCCGGTAGAGGGGCCGCTTGAGATACCTGGAGGGGGCGGGTAGGCCATGATGAATGAACTGCGGGTATGATACGGTTTTTTTGTGCAAGCAAGGCGCGTGTGGCTTTGCTTGAGCTTTTTTGTGGTAACGTACCTCTGAGCCTGGGATGTTCCTGCTCAAAGAAGTCAAATCTCCTTTGCTGTTTGCTATAGCCGACGGTGGGCGTGCTGTTGTCGGGGCTGTCGCAAATGCAGAGATGGGTTTTGCTGGTGATGTATTCGGAGAAATTGTGACGATGTCGTCTCAGCCTCGGCGATGGTGTGTGGCCAATGTGGCTGGTGGCTGAGTTTGATCTGTCACGTGCCGTCTGTGGCTTGTTCGTGAAAGAAGCTCGGACAGGGAAGTGTCCATTGCTTGGCACTGCTCTTCAACCTTCCAGGTGGGTGGACTACACCAACTGCCGCTCATTGCATCCCGCGCACCTAAATCAATGCTTCTCGAATCCCGAGGTTCACAATGCAGCCCATGCCGCCGATTAAACGCCCAGAGAAGTCTAAACTCGGAAAACAGGAATCCCAGTTCCGTCTTGAGCCATTTGATTATTTGGCACCGGCCGTGCTGGCCAGACTCACGTTCCGTTCGGCTGGGATTATCACCATCCCATTTAACCATGCTGTTCCTGCATCAGCTGCATTTTATCCGTCGGACATCTTCAGACGGACATAACGGATAATCAGTAGTGCAGCTATCGGTGTTTGCTGACTGACATCATGGCCTCCGTCGCCCTCCGACACGACGCTGCGTTTTCCCTCGGTCAGGGCCATGCCAATCAGTAATGCGCGTGGATTCTAAGCGGAGCATTAGCGGAGTTCTCAACCGACGACTCCGGGTCGTGCGACCGATCCAAGGCCCGAAGGCGGCGGTAACCCCCACTGAGGTTGCCCCTCGTTTTCCCTTTGTGAGGGCCATATTTCTCGATTTGTGAGCAGCGAGGGACGGATTCACCGTCGGCGGTTGCGCTGCGGCTACGCTGCCTCCATCCACACCTTGAGGTACCTTGGGAGATGGAGGTGCGATATTTTCTGTCCCTTCTGCTGAGGGCGTGGGTCTCAACGAACCCAATAGATTGAGGCTGCTTCGGCCAAGCAGTCCAACTGGAGGAATTGGAGGGGTTCATTACGGCCAGCTTCGGTTTGGTTGGGGCCGACTTCCTCTGCACACCATTGGAAGCGCATCGTGATTTGTCGCGTATATCGAGCAAGGCCCGCTATCCGCTGTCCAGGGATAGGAAACGCGAGGCGCATGCGCATCGGCCGCTGTCTTTTTCCCATCCAATGCCTAATTATAATCGCAATCGTTTTGGTGGTTGGTAGTGGTGGTGGTAAGGCTGCGTCTTTCACGGCGTTCTCTCCGACTGAAGGCGGAGTGCCGAGCGCGCGCTCATGGATGAATAGCGACAACGCGACAACGCGACGTCCCAGTATCTCTCTGCACTGCAGGCCTCCTCCAGGGTTTGGACGTTCTCGAAGCTTTGCTGGAACGGCCCGGCAGCATGGGGGTCTCTTCTATGCTGAAGAAACGGAATTTCCTCCAATGCAGTCCGGAGCGAGAGACAGATGCTGCACGTGCAGGGCGGCTCTCAACTCAAAGTCGAGGGACGTTTGGGGCATGGCCATAGGCAAGACAACGATGGACCAGACAAATCACATTCCCTGTGGTTCCTCACCCCCTACCACCCAAGACGGTCCAGGAGCATACGAAGCGAGCGAGCGAGTACCGGAGCTCCGTTGGGAGGGCAATAATATTATATGCCGCCAGCAGACAGGCCGCAACGCCGCAGTGCGTCGCGCAAGATTAGCATTGGTGATTAGGCAGAGCCCCCGCGGCCTGTTAGACCGAGCGCAGAGTGTTCCTCCGCGGCCGTGGGTTGCGAAACGTCAGGGTCTGACGCATCGAGTTTGAATACCGGAGTCGCAAATCCCTCCCCTGGAACACGCAGAGTGTGAGACATGCTCACGGCGGCCAATGGGAACGGGTGCCTATCGCCGAATCGGACCACAACAGGACGGATCCAGAAGCGCCTTTTTGCACGACGGGCTTCGTCAGGCTGGCGCGCTGCTTGACTAAAACACCACCGGCGTGGAGCAGGCATGATGGTCGTTGCTGGGCCGCCCTCCGCCGTGCGGGCCGGTTCTCTTGCACAATGCGGTAACCGTGGTACATCGGAGTCGCAGTGGAGAGAAGGTCGGGTACATTTCATGCTCTCTGAGAGCATAAGTATACCCGGTTGGCGTAGGTGGTGTTTGGTGTCAATCTGCTTTGCCAGACACAGCCAAACGAGTGAAAAAGGCTTCTGGCTTATTTGCTCAACAACAAGAATGGCGGATGGCAGAGAAACGCGGGAAAGGCGAGGTGACAGAAGAGAGCATCGTCATAAGTGCCCCTCCTTGACAGGCCGTCCAATTGGAGCTGGCTGGAGGAGGGTCTGGTCCTCTCAATGGAGCTCCACGTCCTGAGCGGTGATGTATGTGTCCCTCTTCTTTTCTGTATGCGTGTACATACTCCGTAATCCGTACGGAAGTGCTGGAAGTGAAAGTGGGATTGGATTGCCAAAGCATGGAAAATACAAGCAGCGCAAGGCAGAGTAAGGTACCTACATTCTGCGCATGTACCTCTTTGTCCATGAGTAAGCTCGTCCCGCCAACAGGAAAAAGCCAATCATCTCGAGTTAGTCCAGGAGAGTCCAGGAGGGGCGACCACTGGCCAGCCAAGTCAAAGCAGCAAAGCAGCCCTGTCGATGGTCGAACAAGCCGTCTAGTCCCGCTTTTCTGCCCAGTCTTTGAGAGATATCCCACCCCCAAAGAAAGAATGGGAAGCGATGGAAGAGAGAGAAAAAGTTGTATCCGTACCGCAGGAGGTAGAAGGCCAAGCTGAGAAAGCACCGGGAGGTACTTGTCGACTTCCATTGGGAACTTGGGGGAGTGGGAGTGTGCACATCTGCGCTTGTCATGGGTGGCCCCTGCACTAAGACAAACCACCCCCCCTCCCCTCCTACCCCTCCGTCGACCCTCCCCCTACAAACTTCGTCCGGGTTGACGAAAGCTCCAGCTTCTCGTCTCCTTCTTGACACATTCCCTAGAGATAAATAACTCGACGCTCCCGCATATCATCAAAGATTCGCGCGTTTGAACCTCTCCTCCATCAAACAACACCCCCCACCTAAACCACCGACACATCATTCATCATGTCTGGACCTGTGTAAGTAATACCTCGCTCTGCCTTCTAAACCCCTCTTCGCTCTCAAGCCAAAAGAAAAATTACCCCACCACCCCGCTCCCGACCTCCGATGCCTCACGACAATGACCACGGCTGCGAATTTCCCGCATGTCGACGTCCGTCGTGATGGCTTCGGTGCCGGTGCGGCCTCGGGAGGTGCCAATGCACATGTAACATTGGCCTCAAGTCATCGCCCTCTCCTTTCTCGACGCAATAACATACTCATGCTCGTAATGCAGCGCTCGTCTTGCCAACCTTGTGGCAGGCGTTGTGCCTGCTCCGAGGTCCCGCTCCGCTCTCCTTCTCCTCACACCTGAATAAGCAACGTCCGGCTAGTGAATACTCAAGCTGACCATCGTCACAGCGCTGATATGGGCCTCATCGGCCTGGCCGTTATGGGTCAAAAGTAAGTTCTACCAGATTTCCATGTGTAAGAATTGAATCACTAACTCTCTCATAGCATTATTCTCAACGCCGCCGGTAATTCCGACAATCACATCCCATACCCATATTCAGGTGGCTAATATCCTTTTCTAGACCACGGTTTCACCGTTGCCGCCTTCAACCGTACCGTCTCCAAGGTCGACCGATTCTTGGCCAACGAGGCCAAGGGCAAGTCCATCGTGGGCGCTCACTCTCTGGAGGAGTTCGTTTCAAAACTTAAGAGCCCCAAGCGAGTCATGCTTCTCGTCCAGGCCGGTAAGGCCGTCGATGACTACATTGACACCCTCATCCCCCTCCTTGAGAAGGGTGACATCATCATTGACGGTGGTAACTCTCACTTCCCCGACTCCAACCGCCGCACCAAGTACTGCGCTTCCAAGGGCATCCGCTTCGTCGGCTCCGGTGTCTCTGGTGGTGAGGAGGGTGCCCGCTACGGTCCCTCCATGATGCCCGGTGGTAACGAGGAGGCCTGGCCCCACATCAAGGACCTTTTCCAGAGCATCTCCGCTAAGAGCGACAACGAGCCCTGCTGTGACTGGGTCGGTGATGAGGGTGCCGGTCACTACGTCAAGATGGTCCACAACGGTATTGAGTACGGTGACATGCAGCTTATCTGCGAGGTATGCAACCCCACCCGAGCTCCTCGTAGCTATATGCTGGTAGCTAACACCACATCCAGGCCTACGATATCCTGAAGCGCGGTCTCGGCCTCTCCTGCAAGGAGATTGGCGATGTCTTCGCCAAGTGGAACAAGGGCGTCTTGGACTCTTTCCTGATCGAGATCACCCGTGACATTCTCTACTACAACGATGACGATGGAACTCCCCTCGTCGAGAAGATCCTCGACCAGGCTGGTCAGAAGGGCACCGGCAAGTGGACCGCTATCAACGCCCTTGACCTCGGTATGCCCGTCACCCTCATCGCCGAGGCTGTCCTTGCCCGCTGCCTGTCCTCCATCAAGGAGGAGCGTGTTAAGGCTTCCAGCAAGCTCCAGTACGTTGGCCGCACCAACAAGTTCGAGGGCAACAAGGAGCAGTTCATCGACGACCTCGAGCAGGCTCTGTACGCCTCCAAGATCGTCTCCTACGCTCAGGGTTTCCAATTGATGAACGAGGCCGCCAAGGAGTACGGCTGGAAGCTTAACAAGCCCTCCATCGCCCTCATGTGGCGTGGTGGCTGCATTATCCGCTCCGTCTTCCTCAAGGACATCACCAACGCTTTCCGCAGCAACCCCGACCTCGAGAACCTTCTCTTCGACGACTTCTTCAACAAGGCCATCCACACTGCTCAGCCCGGCTGGAGAGACGTCGTCGCCAAGGCCGCCCTCCTCGGTATCCCGACCCCGGCCTTCTCCACCGCTCTGTCTTGGTTCGACGGTTACCGCACTAAGGATCTTCCCGCCAACCTCCTCCAGGCTCAGCGCGACTACTTCGGTAAGCTTCTTGATACCACGAAGTCCTTTGACATTTTGCTAATCATACTGTTTCTGCAGGTGCCCACACCTTCCTCGTCAAGCCCGAGTCAGCTAACGACAAGTACCCCGCTGGCCAGTACCACCACGTCAACTGGACCGGCCGCGGAGGTAACGTCTCTGCTTCTACATACAACGCTTAATGGTTTTCTGGATAGGTTAAATAGAGGGCTCACTATAAGAACTGGTATAAGGATGCCAGGAGAATGAAATGAAATGATTACACGTAATTGAAACAAAAAGTTCCACCACTTTCTCATTCCGAACCCTTCCAACATGCGCCATGCCGAATTTCATGAGGTGAAGCTGTTGAGCAGAAGCTTGTCTTAGCTATGACCATAGGCGGACGACTATCTAGAAAAAAGTTAAAACACACACATTCACACAGTGTGTCATGATGCAAGTCTCATAAGTAAGCATGTGTGGCAACGTGTTGTACCTTGACTATACTCCACATCCTTCCACATAACTTTTCTTCTAGAAAGATCTTGCGATGCGAAAGGAATCTGACGAAAACTTGACCCCTCCTTTACCGGCGAAGAACCGGCTCAAGGTCGGGACTAACAGCGAACACGGAGCTGCTGGCACAGTGTGTTCGGAGGCTGGATTCACGGTACCCGAGGAATTGTACCCACATGCACGGACCCTAACCGGTACCTCTATGATTGGCCAACTGTCTACAAGGGTCACTCGTGGTGCCGCAGCCTCGTCGCGACAAATTTGGGGACCGCGAACCAAGCTGCAAGTCAATCAATCCATCAACCAACAGTAGCTTCCCCAATTGTCGCGCCATCTCAATCCTTCCCACGTCTTTGTCGATTGCCCTCCTCACAGATAATTACGGCCTGAGGAGACAATCGCTTGTTCTGCGCGACAAAAGCTGTGCATCAGCATCCGCCCCAACCCCATCGCATCGTAAATCCCACGTCGCGATCCACCATGGCGCAAGACCCAAGTGACGGTATCGATCAGGAGCTGGTAGGTCACCGCTGCCAGCATTATATTTGGTATCGAAAAAAAAGTATCAACTCATCGCTAACCATCTTCTAGCTGAGCCATGCTCATCTCATCTCCGCCAACCACTATGCCGACCAGGCACGCGTCGACCTGAACCAAGTAACGAAGTGGTTAATGGCGGCGCCCCAAGTCGCGAAAGACAAAGCTCCCTTCTTCTGGACCTACCTCGATCGACCCCGCGACGGCCAGGTCTATCTTACATGGCAACCTCTCAAGAGGCTCGGAACCAACTTCGCTAGCGACGGCATGATCTGTGGACCCGAGCAGTACCATAGACAGGACGTTGGAAATGGATTGGTAGGCATCCTGTCGCGTTATTGAAGGAACAACCTGACTTTATCATCAGTCTCTCGAAATCCACTTCGTCAAGTCGGCATTCATTCCTGGCGAACAGGTCGCCATGCACGCTCGTCGCAGATTCCGCCTCGTACCCTCGCAGACCGGAGTAATGAACGCGCCCCAGCCAGACATCAGTCTCTGGATCGTTCACTACGGCCCTTCCGACCCCTCCGACCGCGTCCCTGTCAACCTGATCCCCGTGTCACAAGAGACTCAGCACATCATGGGGACTCGCAATCACCTTCAGAAGTGTGGTCAGATTGCACGAAAGGACTTCATGCTTTCGGATCGCGCAAGCTGGCCCTCGATCCAGTTCCCGCGTAATGGCGGACGGCCTCAGATGTACAACCCGCCGGCGCAGTCGCGGCGCGTACCGCAGCAGATGGCCTATCCCCCGGCGGGTCCCCAGGGACGTCGTGGCCGCCAACAAGCACAGGCTCAGGCGCAAGCCCAGCAGCAACAACAAGCCTTGGCTCACGCCGAGGCTCTCCATGACGACGAAGAACTCGAGAAGGATCTCTTTGACCATCTCACCCCTAGAGACATTTCCTTCGCACGGTACCAACAAAACCATGAGTGGATGGAGGAGATTGTGTCTTCGCCCTACGGCCTCAGTCAGATTGCGCCCCCTGATCTCGGACTAGGCCTCAAGGGAGAGCTGGCACCTTTGACTGATGGCATCTTCTCAGCGCAGAGCGCAAACGCACTCACTGAGCCGCCCCAGAAGCCTTACATTGGACGGCTAGAGCCTGGCCTGGCTGATGAGTTCAGAAAACGGGTCCAGGAGCACCTCGATGCCACCAAGGCTGAGATGGAGAAGATGAAGGCGGAGCATGCAAAGAACCTGGCAAGCCTCAAGGCGAGCTCGGTATTCGTTGATGCGGAGAAGGATGTGAAAAAGTCCGTTCAGGAGCGTGGACCGGAGCCGTGGCGTCTGGAGGGTTACTCTGCCGATGCGGATGATAACTCCGGCCCGTGGTCACAGAAGCACAACAAGAAGGTGGACGAGATTGTGGCTCAGGTCGAGGCCAACCTGGGCCGGCACATTGAGGTCCTCCACAATGTGCACCGCATACAAGATGGCGGTTTCCAGGAACCCGCCCCTGAACCTGTTAAGGAGCCTTCACCAGTCCCGCCGCCGGCGAGCTCACCTCCCGCCCCGGCAGCTGGTGTAGATGCGAATGCCTCGGGATCACGGCGGCCGTCTCAGGCTGGTTCTAACCACAGTGGCGTGATGGTAGGCGATTCGGATATTGATATGGGAGGCACGGCAGCAGGACTACTCGACGAGATGCACACTGGGTTCTCTGCCAACTCGACTCCTCTCAACAACTTCCCTACACCGCAAACACACATGTCCGCGTTGAACTCAAACGCAGGTACGCCAGCCAACGCAAATGTGCAGTCGCCCGCACCGGTCCCTCCTACTATTCAGGAGGAGACCGAGGCGCAGACTTCCACTGGCGCTCCTGCTGCCACGGGTGAGGATGTCACAATGGGCAACACAGAGTCCTCCAAAGATGCCTCTGCCACCGCGCCTGATCAAGGAACCGGCAGCGGTGAATGGGTCGTCGTGCCTAAGGGAGGCGCAACGCCCGACCCCTCCGCCGGAGCCGCCGCCACCACCGCCACTGCAACTGAGGGCGACACTGCCAAGCCTGCCGCCAAGCCCCCGTCTGCTGCCGGAACGCCAGCAGATACTCAGACGCCCGGCGGCTTCAGCTCACTGGGTGACCTGGACTCGGCCGGTGATGCCATGGCTGGCTACGGCGGGTCTATGGGCGATGGTCTGGATATGAACATGGAGATGGAGGACTCTGCGTTTGGCGATGCCTTCCACGGTGTGTCGAACACCAACACACCTGGGAACCAGTCTGAGGGCGGGGCTTAGGGGCCTATCGACCCGCATTTCGATTGGGATACCAAGTATTAGTGAGAGACTGGTGACTCGAAATGAGGGCAGTGTATGTTTAATGCGGCAAGGTGGCTCAATCAGGCTGGTTGGGACCACTTTTCAGTTTTGTTTTTGAATTGGAGACGACAGGGCCTAAGGCATGTATGGTATTACAATCCACACGGATGGTTAAAGAATGGAATGAATTCAGTCTAGTCCAGGCTTCATGCTCTATCCGTACTTGCTACAATGATGTGTGGTCAAGGGTTACGACGTGTGAGCCCAGTGCCGTAAGGTGTTACATGTGAGGCGTGCAGTGAACAGGCCGCAGGAGAGAGCATTGGGTATATATCAAGTAAATTGCGAGGTCTATTGACTTCGTCACGTAATGAATTGTATGATTTTTCCACCCGAAAACCCCCAGCGGCGTTGGATATCCACATGGTTCAAGATCTACAATACCGAACTAGAAATTTACTTCAACGAGCATTGCCACTACCAAGATCACTGCAACCCGGCATTGAGTGCTGGGCTGAATGACGAGAATGAATAAACATTGCTGAAGGCTTTGAGAGTATCCTTAAGGAGCTGGGATCTATGCTTGCGGAAACAACAGGGCGCTATCATCCCAAGGTAGGAGATAATTGGTTGGGCTCAATGGTGTGACCAGACTCTTGACCGTGTACTGGTATTGCAGGTGAAGGGCCAATGACCAAGACCTCATGCCTTTTGCTCTTGGAATCCACAGGCTGAACAGCGTCAAACACGGAGAAAGAATGGTGATACATGGCGGTTCATCCCACAGCGAGCCCGGATTACGTTGACAGGGGCCGTGACCAGTGCGCTCCTGTTAGGGAGTAAGCGGGGAGAGAAGGCAAGGCCGCTAACACGGCCCCACCGTCTCCGCGTCGTACCGGGCGGGAGGTTTTAGGTTTGATCGGCGCTAGGTACAGACGTCTCAGCCGCAGGCTTTACACGAAGCCCCCCCCCCCCCCTTCTCATGTCATCCCGACTTTTTCAACCTCCCTCTTCCCTCGAAGGTTCGAATGAATTGGCCCTTGTTTTTTCCCGGCTGCTCATCACTAATGGGAGATTGGACGAAAAACACGCAACGAGGTGCTTTGCTGCCCATGGCTTGGGTTTACTGGCTCGATATGGGGCATAGTAGGGAGGTGTTGTCTGAAGTTTTGCTGGGCTTGCCCCCTGTACCCTTCCCCTTCCTTCACACGAGCTTAACTGTCCATCGTTAAGACGAAAGCTTTCTCAGGAGCTATGAAGAAAATCGACGAGCTTGATTTACATTGTGTTGATTGTCGAACTACGGAGTCTACGCTTTAATCTCTGCGTAATGCGCCACACTCTAGCAAGCGGCTAGTGGAAAAACAAAAGAGAGATGCCCAGCTGGAAATCGGCAAAAAGATGAAGCAAAGCCCAGGATCGCGAAACCACCCTTGACCACTTACGAGATCCTCTCCCGCCGTCCCGCCATCGCCGCCCCTCCTTCCACCACACTTTTACCGCCGAGGTCCTTACCAAGTGGCTGAGTGTCGCTCTCGCAAATGTTTCTTGTGCCATCTGGGCAGCCATTGTAGTTCTTGGCCAAAGTCCACTTCATCGAATGGGACCAGGGGGTTTTCAACTTTGTGGTCCCGCCCTCTCCCCCGTCGTCGTACCGAGTCTCGGCCGATGAGACGTGGACCATGGTCGAAAACCCCCCTTGCCCAGCCTTTTTCTCCTTAAGCTTAGGATGACGTTCTGGGGAAATGGTGCGGTTTGTCCACGAGGCCCCCTGTCCAAGGAGTTATTGGACTTACACGCGCCGCTGCGAGAGAGAGAAAGATCCATCCCATCAAAACTCTTCCCGGGAGGTGAGGATCTCGAAGTGGCTCCCCCTTCTTTTGCTTCCCCTTCTCTTCTGCTTCTTACACTTGATCTTCGTTTCTCCATTCACTTCTTGTTGCGCTGTTTTCGAGTTGCGTTTCTTCGATTCTGTCTGCTAACTGTTGTTCACTTCTTCTTTGAACGCCCTTCTTTTTTTTCAAACCTATCCTGCAGGTCAGCTTCACTTCAAGCATTCCGTTCGTTTTACACACGCCCGCCCCTTCGACTTTTTTCGATACCCGAGCCCAAGTTGGCCGACTTTTTTCTCTCTAATCCAAAAAAAATAACGATTCTCGATACGTGGTTGCTTATCTTGGGTGGAACTCGGCACGATCTTTATACTCGACGCAAAACATATTGAGGAAACAACAAGGAAATAAGATGCGGTTTACCACGTCATTGAGGCTTTGGGTTTGCGCGGTTGCTGTGTCGGTATGCAATGCGCAGATCTCGAAGCCGAGAGCCGGGGATGTGTTGATGCCGAACCAGCAATTTGAGGTTGAGTGGCAGACGGCGGGCTTACAGGCCCCCATCAACGTTGACCTGGTTCCCAGTGGCAAGACGGACTTGTCAGTCATTGCGGAGAAGATTGCAGGTGAATTTATCCAAGCCAATTTGAACATCAAGTGGAATCTTGATCTGTTAACCAAAAATGTCATGCAGTGCAAGTCGACAACGTCGGCCGTCTGAACTGGAACCCCAGCGCCTCCATCACAGCCTTTGAGAGCTTCGCCATCGTCATTACGGATTCTGCTCAGGCCGTCGTCGTCTCCGAACCGTTCAAGATCACCCAGCTCACGCAGCAGCCCGTCGTCCAGACGATTCTCGGGGCGGACCCGGCGCAGGTGGAGATCCTCACTGCGGCTGCTGGGCACCCCAAGGTTGTGTACTCTGGCGCGTTGCCCGCTGAGGCTATCCCCGCCGGCGTCGCTGAAGCGGAAGCTGCCCCCACGGAGCCCGCTCTCGTCCAGCCTGAGGAGTCTAGGAATACTATCTCGAACGGCACTGCGCCTGGAGCCTCTCCTTCTAGACAGAGAACCGGCAAATCCAAGAAGCAGCCCGCGACCCCCAACGAGGATGCCGTACCTCGCAACTCTTCCAAACCGCTCACGAGCATCGCCGAGAAGAACCAGACACCTACGCCGATATATTCGACCATCCAGTCCGCCCCCTCCGCGCCCGCGTCGTTCCCGACATTATCAGCGACCAAGAACCAGACAGGAGTCCCAGGACGTGGCGCTGAGGTCACGCCCACGCCGATATACTCCACAATCCCGGACTCGGGCCCGGCATTCCCAAGTCTCTCGGTCACCAAGAACCAGACGGCGCCCGCGAACGCCGAGGTCACTCCTACCCCTATCTACTCCACGTTGCCCGATACACTCTCGAAGTTCCCGACCCTCGCGCCCACGAACAACCAAACAGCTCCGAGCGCCGAGGTGAGTTCCCCCTGGCTTCTTTCCCCTAGTCTAGCAAACACTAACAGCAGATCCAGCAGCCGGCCAAGAGCAAAGCGCCCGCCGCCACTCAACCAGCAATAGAAGTCCCGGCAAACCGCACCAGCATCACGCCGGAAGCGCCAACCACGCCCTCCCTACCGATCGTAACTCTCCCAGTTCCTAAGAACAGCACCATCCCCGCCTCGCCCCCGGCCACAAGCGCGCCTCCCGTCCTCCCGAGCGCCGCGAACCCAGCATCAAACAGCAGCGCCACCCCTACAGGCCTGCCCGCCCTCCCCGTCACCGAGCCCGCCGCCGTGGCTCCCGTGCCCATCGCTGCCCCGTCGGCGCCTTCGAGCCCGCCGAGCGACGGTACAGGCACGGCTGTGACGAAGCCTGAGCCCCAGACTTCTGACCCGGCGGCGGCGGCGCCGTCTGCCGCCAGTTCGAGCGGCGCGTTGCCTTACAAGGGGACTCTGCCTGCGGACGGCGGCGCAGTCAAATCCGACGTCCCTGCGTCGACTACCGGTGGCCCTACCGATACGGCTAGCGGGGTTTCGGTGACGCCTGTGCCTAGTACCACAGCTGGTGGCGGCAAGGAAAGCGAAAAGGGGGGCGACAAGAGCGGGGACGAAAGCGGTGGTTCCGGCAGTGGTTCAGGAAAGGGGTCAGGCCAAGACTCCGACACCGAATCCGATAGTGAGTCCGGGTCCGGCAGCGGTAGCAGCAGTATCAGTGGCAGCAACACGGGAGTCCGGCAACCCAGCACGTCCGTCTCTTCCACGGCAGCCATCGTGCCTACGCCCCAACCGCAGCTTGGCGTCGGCATCGGCGCCACGCCCGTCGTCCAGATCGGACCCAGCATAACGTTGCCGTCGTCCCTCTGGACGTCCATGATCCTCGAGACGGCGGCCGGTTTCGCGGCGCCGAGTGGCGGGTCCTTTGCGGTGGCGACGTCTCCTGCTTTGCTTACGGTTCCTAATGCGGGGTGTAGGACGACGAAGGGGGGCGGGTATGTTGCTGCTGTTTTGGGTGCTGTGACTGCGCTTTTGGTTGTTGTTATGTAGGAGATGAGGGGACAGCGATTATAGGAATCGGGGACGGGGCGAGGGGGGTGGGTTTGGGTGTTGACTAGTGTGTGAACTCATTTTTATCGCACCTTCAATGATGGTACTATCAGGGAGGGAGGATATGAGGTTACATGTAGACAAAATGAGTAAACTGAGTTTCGAGATATCTCATTTTGGACTTTAAACGATGTAGCTTTTGACGATTTCAGGAGTTAAGTGTAGAGTTCAGCCAGTGTGGTCCGATCCTCCTCGAGTTGAGCTCACGGTCATGCCAAAACCATTTAGTTTAGAAGAATATATATTCATTCTGTTGCTTGTGTAAGACATCACTAGATATGTTCAAGGTGCTGGATGACCGCACAATGATGAAGCAAAATCATTTCTCTAATGGGACGGAAAGGGGCCAGGTCAGCAGTGTGATTGGGTAATATGTCACCGCCTCCTCACCTTTCATTTACGCAGTGCTGGAGAAAAAGATCCCCCGGCGTGCTCTCAAGACGATTTTGGTGGTGACCGTGCTCTGGGTGAATCGTCAATATCTCTTCTCTGAGAAGATTGCATAAGTAGACGTTCATGGCTTATAGTTTGATGCTTGCTTGACCCTCGTGTGAGCACGCCGCTGTATACCTTTCCCTTCCACTTAGGAGGAATAAGTTAAAGGTATGTAAACTACATGAACCAAAAAGAGTTCACCCCCCCGGTGCTGAACTGGGGGCTACATCTCTTAGTGCTCATGCTAGGATTCGAACTCGGGTACTCGTATGCGCTAAGCCTGTCGTCGAGTAGGCTGGTTGGCGTAGATAATTGATGTTGACCATTAACCACTCCACCACCCAGCCAGTTTGACCTGACCCATCGACCTAGACGGGCGCCTCCTGGCTGGTGACAGGAATGGATTTGAGGGAGGGTATAAAGGCTTCCTCACCTGTATTCCATCTGATTTCGAGGTAAACAAGGTAGGCGAGGAAGGACCGCTGCGGAAATCTACTGGAGATGAATCATCCACGGCCATCAAGGTGCCTAGTCTCATATGATACCGTTGCCCAGCACGGGTATGAAGATAAGGTAGAGTGCAATGCTGCAATGGCTCTTTCTTGAGCGTATCTATGGGAGCAATGGGAGTCTGATACGTTGACGACCATACCACCACCGTGATTGAGCCCTACCTCAATATTTGGCTAGGAAGTAAGACAGTGCTTTTCATCACAATAGACTCGTTCTGTAGTGTATCATGTTCTGGGTGAGGAGTGGCGCCCCGCTGATCATTCTCTCTGATAATCGAACCTCAAATAAGAATAAACAAGGTCCCAACACAGGAATAATGAAGCGCTGTATTCAAGGGGTGCATCACACAGAGTTGTGCCGTCTACCTTGAATGATTTCATTGTCATTGACGATAGCGTAAGACGAACGAGCCCTAACTAAGGTACCTGAAAGTATCCGCTACGTTTGAGATCGCCTCCGTATCTCGTGTTCTCATGCCTTGAAATGCGTCAACTTTTGTGTGCCGGGCCTGTGTCTTGCAAACGATGATTACTCTGGCCATGCCGAATCTCTGAGCCCGGAATCGCAGCATCTTGAATCAAAGATATCTTTCAATCAGTTTCCCAAGTGTCTCTTCCCAGTCATATTTCTCAGATCGGGGACAACCTTGAAGACCTTTAAACGATGGCTGACTGACTGGCGAATGACTTGATCACACCAAGGGCTATATCGTCGCCCGATCTAAAAGCCAGATACGATTTGGAATTCGAGTGGCCAGGCGAGGATGTAAATCAAATGTGAATGGGTATGTAAAGACTACGAGAATCGTCACGTCTTACACGGTGAGGACCGGGCAGGCGTGAATATGCAGGATGTTGTTGATGACTAGGCGGATTACGCAGCGGCCTCAGCACTGGCCTTGATGCTGTAAGGGCCGAAGAATTCGGGGTCGTTGGAGAGTTCTTCCTTGACCTAGGGAAGGGATAACGTTAGTAATTGTGAGTCAGCAACGGCGCTGAGACTTTTCCACTTACGATATCAAGACCACCAACCAGCTCACCATCAACCCAGAGCTGAGGGTAGGTCGGCCACTCGGCATACTCCTTCAGGCCCTGTCGTACCTCATCATCTGCCAAGATGTTGAAGAAGCCGTACTTGACCGAGTGCTCTCTCAAGATGGCAACAAGCTGTCTTGAGAAGCCGCACTGAGGCGAGCTGGGGGTGCCCTTCATGAAGAGCATGACTGGCGCCGCCTTGACAAGGTCCGCCAGGCGCTTGAACAACTCCTCCTTGGCCTTGGCCGGGTCGACGGGCTCGTCGACTTGCATCGCGCTGGGACCATTCTCGACGCCCTGGTTGCCATTTACCGTGGCAGCGGCGCCGGCGGGCTTCTTTGCGTGTGTCTCGATCGCGTTGCGGACCTTGACAGCGCTGCTACCGCTGACGGTTTCGAGGACTTGACCGTTGCGCAAGAGAACGAGGAAGGGGACGGCGGTGACGTTGTATGTCTCGCTAATGTCGCTGAGCTCTTCGGCGTTTATGGAAACCCAGGATGTCTGCGGGGGGCTGGTGACGGGGTATTCGGAGGCAAGGGTCGAGAGGACGGTGGCCATCTGGGCGCATGGGGCGGCCCATGGCGCATGGAAGGAGATGATGTGGAGGGTGGAAGGCGGGGTGGAGGCAATGTGCTTCTCCCAGTCGGCAAGACTGGTGATCTCCGTGATCGTCGACATTGTGCTTTTTTGGCTAATCGCGAATTCTTGGGATGGTCGGTTGTTGAAGGTGATGCGTTAAGGGTCTATTCGGGGTCAATCGGACAGAAGAGGCCGTAAGAGGGAATCGCGTGGAGTCGTAGAGTCTTGTGGAACGCACTCGAGAGGAAGGACGGGCTTGGTCGGACGTTGAATCGCGGAATGACAAGTCCAACGGCTGATAAACCACGGGTCTCCGATACGTCGGGTGGAGGGGTATTATTTGGAGGGGCAAGTCGTGATTTTTCGGGGTGGCTGCGATAGTATCGGGTATAGCGATCTCCGCGGGCAGGAGATGGGGTTGCTGCATGGGTTGATGACTGTAGGGGAGAAAGTCTCGAGTTGCGTCATCTGTCGCGATATTTACGTGGCTTAATTACATATGTGAAGAATCCCACTCGGCGGGGATCACACGGGGGCATGCCCAAGCTGCCCCACTAGAGCAGCGCAGAGGCCCGAAGCGGAGAGCGAAAGCGGCAGGCACCTTCGGAGCACAGTGTGTCCTGTACTACTTCGTACGCCGCCTTCTCTGGCCCACCCTGTTCCTCCCCTCCCCCCGTCCCCCTCCCAGGCTCCTAGTTACTGCCAGTCAGTCACTTTAGGTAGCTGCCCAGCCTGCCCCGCCTCGACACCTGGCCAGCGCTGAACAACGCTGAGCTGCGTAACCGACCGTCCGCGTATTGGATGCTGGCGGGACCGTGCTTCACCTCCAAGTTCTAGTTCCACCTGTGCTGCGCCTCTCCAACTCTCGGCTGTCCACGACTTTCTGCAATAGAAGAGAGGGCTGGTTTGCTACGTCAGCTTCTTGCCCGTCAGACATAGGCGACTCTCCGACGGAGACCTTTTCGATTAAACATCTTCCACCCTACTATTATACCTCTTTCCCCCTCACCAATCCCCCTCATCTACTGACGACTCAACGATCGACGACCACTGCTAGTCGAGCTTACTGCCCAAACTCGCAATGGCGTCACTCAATCTGTCCATCAACGGACCCTCGATCAAGAGCAGCTACCAGGGAGTCATCAACGGCCCGCCCCCAAACTCGAGCTCCCCGACATACGCTCAATGGGCCTTGTTCTCAGTTCAGGCTCCTTTGGCCAATGCTTTCCAAGACAGCGGCAACAAGGAGAGTGTGCTGAAGGTCCAGAGCACTGGTGGTAAGTTCCCCCGCTCTTTCGCCCGAGCTCCCGACCTCGCTCGGGGGAAGACAATGCGCTGACATGTGTCCTTTCCCACGTAGATGGCGAGCTCTCGGAGCTCATCGAAGACTTCAACGAGGGCCGCATCCAGTTCGCTTTTGTCAAGGTCAAGGATCCCAACTCTGGCCTTCCCAAGCACGCCCTAATTGCTTGGTGCGGAGGCGGTGTCCCCGAGAGGACCAAGGGCTACTTCACCACCCATACCGCCGCCGTTTCCAAGATCCTCCACGGCTACCACGTCCAGATCACCGCTCGTTCAGACAGCGACCTCGAGCCAGAGAGCGTCATGCGCAAGATTGCCGATGCCTCCGGTGCCAAGTACTCAGCAGGCGGTTCCACGTCTTCCGCTGCCCCACCTCCGGTTGCCTCTAAGCCCGTCTTCACACCCACCACATCATCAAGCGGCGTCAACCCCATCGTCGCCGCGCGAAACCGCAAGCCCGCAGGTGTCGACGAGGATGGCTGGGGAGACGATGCGCCTCAGGTGACTCGGTCCCAGCTGGAGAAGGTCGAATCTGCGTACAAGCCCACCAAGGTCAACATGGCAGAGCTCACGAAGCAACGGCAAGAACCCTCCGGCTTCAACGGAAACGGCTCCCAAGACAGGCCTGATGTCGTGAAGGGCGCATACCAACCCGTTGGAAAGGTGGATATTGCTGCGATTCGCGCCGCAGCGAAAAACCAGCAGGACGACAGGCCTGCCCCGGTCAAGGGTGCGTACGAACCCATCGGCAAGGTCGACATTGCAGCTATTCGCGCCAAGGCACAGAAGCCCTCAGAGGCTGCGGCACAGGAGCCCGAGGAAGACGAGCGGCCTAAGTCGCTGGCCGAGCGAAGTGCCGCATTCAACCAGTCAGAACGCTTGACGTCACTGCCGAAGCCCAAGGTCGCCAACAAGTTTGGCGGTGCGGCAGCTTTCACCGGCACCAAGGCCCCCGCGCCCGGTGGTCTTGGATTCGGCGCAACCTCCGCTCCCGCGCCTCCACCAGTGGGTGCCGCAAGCCGCACATTTGCCGACCAAGGTGGCAAGACGCCAGCTCAGCTCTGGGCCGAGAAGAAGGGAAAGCAGGGCGGATCCGTATCCAACGTTGTCTCGCCTCCGGTCACTTCTCCGATCGGCGTCCAATCGACCGGCGAGTGGAAGAGCGGCTACTCTGGCAAGTCTTGGGGACCCGTCAAGATGCCCGAGTACGGCAAGGGCTCCATCAGCCAGGAGAACACTGGCGAGGATGCCCAGCGAAGTGTCGAGACGCCCGCTTCTCCTAGTGGCGGCATTGGTGCCCTCAAGGAGCGCTTCACCGGCGGAGCCCCGCCTATTCCCCGCGAGTCGCAGCCTCAGCAGCAGCAGCAGCCCCAGCAGCAAGAATACGATGAGCCGTCTCCTCCTCCCCCACCTAGCGGTTCCCGGCCTCCCCCGGCCGGTGGGTTCGCTCTACCCGGTCTGCCTTCTAGGCCAGCCCCTGAAGAGGAAGAGGAGGAGGAGGAGCCCCAGTCTCCCATCAGAGTTGCGCAACCCGTATCTCGCGGACCCCAGGTCGAGATGGAGGCGCCCGAGGAGAGGGAACCTCCCCGCCCTATCCCTACTCAGCAAGAGCTACCCAGGGAGGAGGACCTTCCAGAAGACAACGATGCCGGCCGTGGCGCTGCCGCAGCTGTTGCAGAGCAATCGTTTGGTCAGGAGCAGGTAGCGGCGGGCCAAACGGACACCGGCGGCAAACGCGCTGTGATTCAATACGACTACGAGAAGGCGGAAGACAACGAGCTTGAGCTTCGCGAGGGCGAATATGTCACAAACATCGAGATGGTGGACGAGGACTGGTGGATGGGAACTAACTCCCGCGGCGAGAGCGGCTTGTTCCCCAGCAACTACGTCGAGCTTGTCGAGGATGAGCCTGAACCGGCGGCGGCGGCACGAAGCGCCCCTCCTCCCGCACCGGCTCAAGCGGAGCCGGAACCGGCAGCTGCCGCTGGCGGCCGAACAGCCACCGCGCAATTCGACTACGAGGCTGCTGAGGATAATGGTGAGAAAAGCGCATCCCCTATTCTTTTGACGTATCAATGCTGACTCTTAGTCTGTAGAACTTTCGTTCCCCGAGAATGCAACGATCAAGGACCTCGAGTTCCCTGATGAGGATTGGTGGTTCGGTTCCTACGGTGGCAAGCAGGGTCTCTTCCCTGCCAACTATGTCCAGCTGGACAACTAGGGATGAATTCATTGGTAGCGGTTTAGAAAAAGTCTCCATGACGGCCAGCGACGAATCACGCCCTGGGCCTCCCAACCAAGAACAGTCTTGAGTTGTGAGGCGCTTAGCTGCGTTTGAGAGGAATAAAAACATCGGTGTTATTGTCCTAACTTTGATTGACGAGAAGCTTGCAGCATTCTGTGATTTCGCCATAACTGTTCAACGCTCAGTAAGTATAGATATATGATATGGGCACACAAGCCCATGGACGATAATGGCGACTGAACGTTGGTGCTTTAGTCCATATCTTCATCTCACGTCACGTTGACCACAAGTTTCAATACTCATATGAGTGAGGTATACGTGTTGATTTGCCACAAAAAAAAAAAGAAATAAAGACTACTACAGAAAGGAAGTCATTACGGCGCATAAAAAATGCGCCCACCGACAAATAATTCATCCAGATTTGACAGGTAGATGGAGAGAACAGCGCCATGAACGCCCGTGGGGAAAAAGTAATCAACGAGGTCGCTGAACCCATCGTGAACCCCGTCCCTCCCAAAGTTTTCCGCTTTCCTCCAATCGATTCGTCCCTATAACCATCCCAACTTCATTTCGTCGTCTCAGGTTTCGTGTTCTTTTGCGAGTTTGCTTTGCGCCAGTCGAGGCCGATTGAGCCGTGCGAGAGGCCGCGTGAGATAGGGCCGTCGATTTCCATGAATTTTCCTTCCTCTTGCCTGTCGTCGTCGTTTGGGAAATTTGTTGGGAGCCAATTACAGTTTTTTCTTCGACGTTAGGTATTCGCCGTGATCCCGTCGGGTTCCCCACTTTCTTTGAACGGAAACCACAGACCGTACTTTTGACACACCGAGGATGTCAGGTTTTTTGCTGCATCCCGCAAGTAAATTGAAAGAGAGAAGAAAAAAACATCATCTCTCGCTCTGGCTCTCATTTTGTTGAGATGAGCTAAAGTGGGTGAGTGAAGGAGATTTTTTCTCAATTCATTTAGCAAACGTCGAAGCAGCACTCGCAACTGGGATATCGTTAGTCACCGTATATGATAATGGATTGAGATAAGGACAGAGAGAAAACTCACCATTCTGCGCAGCATTCGCACGTCTCGTCAATGACGCAGCAACAGCACAGGGCGGCGAGACAGGCCGTCAAGCAGTTTCCGCCGCCCTGCTTCTTCTGCCGGGGCGCCTGCATGGGAGGCTGTTGCTGGTACTGCATGGGCGGCGGGCCGCCTTGGGGGTAGTAGCCGCCCTGCTGCTGCTGGTAGCCTCCTTGAGGGGGACCGTAGGCCTGAGGATGTTAGTGATTGTAGTTCGCACGTCAAATTCATGATTGTGAGTAAGGTAGAGAGAGGCCCGGCGCATGTAATCAAGCTGAGGCATTGGAATGCGCCAACGGAGAAGAATTGTCTGGGCGTGAGGAATGGGGGAGGACAAGACGAGGGTGAGTGCTTACAGCTTGGGGGTGCTGAGGGTAACCGCCTTGAGGAGGGCCATAGTTTTGGTTGTTGTAGTTGCCACCCTGGTTGTAGTAGTCGTTGCTGGCCATCTTGTGTACGTGTGTACTTGTTGTTGATTGCTTGAGATGTAGGTGAAACGATGAAGCTATTCAGAGAGCCGAATGATGGGGAGGATCTGATGGGAAAGACAGAGAGAGGCGAACTGGTGGATAAGAGTGAGTGTGTGAGATGAAAGAATTCCGAGACGGCAGCGGTAGAAGAAGAGCGGAAACGTGTGTCGATAAAAAGGGCTGTATGGAGTAAGGCACGGTAATAAGGCAGTGAAAGAGAGAAGTGGCCCAGTGACAGGTTCGAGGACATCCCTGCTCTGCATCGAAAGTGACGGGCTGGGCGATGCTGCTTGGTGGCTCCCCCTCCTCTCCACCCCCCGTCCCACCTCAGTCACAGTGGAGGTGTAAGGTAGGTACGACGCATCAGCCCAGTACTTTTCAGTCTAAGCATTTTAGTTCCCATAGGCACGTAAAGGCACGTAGTGTAGTGTATCCTGTAGGTATTCCGTCGTCGGATGGGTACTTTGGTACCCTTACCCAGCTGTCTACCTAGGGACCTACACAATTTCTTTTTTGCTGTGCTGAGGTCAGTCGGAGAGAGCGATGAGCTGCGGGGCCGAGGAATCGAAGCTTTTTTTTTTTTTCTTCTTCCCCAATCCCAAGACAGCGCCCCCCCCCCCCCCGAGACAGCTGCGCATGCCGTAAAGTAGGTAGCACTCCACTGGGACCGAATGAGCGAAAGAACCCCGACTTACCACCACGGACACGTTTTCAGGCGGGGCGGGGAGCCACGAAATACAATCGGCCAAGGCCCGATGAGCGCGATAGATTGAGGTACCCGCGAGTAATCCCGAACCCAACTAACCACTAGGCTACCGGGGCCCCCGTGTCCAATAATGGGAACTTTGCAGTGCTGGCATAGCACTCTTCCACAGTACCTAAAGACTCGGTTTAGACCCGGCATGGCTGAAGGTGATGACTGTTCCTTGCAGACCTGACCCAAAGCGCAGCGCAGCAGGGCCACAGCCGACACCGCCAGCGCCCCAGCCACAACTTGGGGAAAGGTGGATACCGCCTGATTGGCCGGATGCGTGTCCCTGGTGGCGGCATGGTGATGCGTCCTCTCTCCCGCCTCTTTCTGTCTCTTTTTTTTTTTTTTTTTTTCTTTTCGCCATTGATGATGCTGCAAGTCTTTGAACGCCGAGTTTGTTCCCAGGACCACATTCTGTTTGGAGGGAGCAGCTCGTGGGCGATTACCTTACCTTACCGCGCCTTACAACCTTACCCACCTAAAAGCGCTCCGTCCCAATTTCCATCCATAGCTTTTCGCCATGGGCGCGGTGCATAGATGGACCGTCACTCGGTATATGCCGCAGCATTGAACGCCATGATGACAGATTCGATTCACCCTCAACGATATTCGGATTCCGAGGCTCGCGTTCGTTGCGTACTAACACGAATGAGGCACCCTTGGTTCGGGCCAGAGTGAGTCTAGGTAGGTCGTTGGGTGGTTAGCTGCCGCCAAAGTGGCTAGGACGGACGCTGGGCTCGTCTTCGCGCTTGACTTTCGCTGCTCCCACCTGCGATATGCATCTCCGTGGGCGCTTGCGTCGCATGGGAGGAAAGGGAAGAGGTGACGACGGCCTGGGAAAGGAGAGTCTTGTAACTTCCAAGGTCGGTCGCACACGAAATGTAGTCATGCGACTGAGGCCACGTCCCCTGGCGAGACATTTCTAGCGTATTGTCTACGTCGCTCGTCCCGGCTGACCTGACCTTCTCACGCGGACCGGAGAGACACTTCTTCTTACTACTGTAGACTACCGGTAGTTATACTCGAATACATAACAAGACAGCCCAACATGAACAATACCAACACAAGCACTGCAAGCTGGCGAGCCAGAAGCACCATGATGACACCCCAAATCCAAAACGTCAGGTGTCACTGTTTGAGGTTCTCTTCACATTTGATAGGGAACCTCCTAAGAAACCTCCACTTTGGTCAAAGGCATCGAGATGCCAGATGGATCCGGTACCCGCATGAACGTGCCGAACGAACCCCACCAGCAAACATTGGCGCGATTTGGGTGCCCTTCAATTTCCACACTTGCGCAGCAGACCCAACCGAACGAAGAGAGAACAACGCACTGCAGCTAAGCCTCTTTTCTTGCCGCTGCGTCTGCTGTGTTCGTACCTATCGTATGCCGCACAGCAGAACGGAAACCACGCACGAGGCTCAGCCACCGAAGCATTCGGTGATCCCATCGTACTGAGGTAGAGAACCATGCCGAGCATCCGCCGTTTCTCTTCTGATTGGCCGGAACTAAACCTCCCAGATCTCTAACGCTCACGAACGGGTATCACAGACGCACACCAATCAATCAATCACATGAGCTGCCAGATCTTACCTTTGGGTCTAAGTGATCTCTACCTAGGTTCACACGCTTTTGGCTGCCACAGCCCCGCCTATCAGGAACGATGCCAGTAGAACCTTGGGCTCCAGTGCTACCTACCTTACCATGCGTAGGTATTCGACCAGGTACGGAGTACCAACGACAGAAACGATCTGACAATTAATGCCAAGCAAAGGGGTCCAGCCGCCCGGGCGCGGCCCCCTTCGAAGGAACGGTACCGTACCGTTCCTACCGTTCGAACCGCCAAGCTTTGCGGCGACGGCTGTCTCGACGTGTTGGCGTCTCAAACTCTCTCCAGTGCCACGCCCCATTCCCGCTCCTTGGCTGGTCTTGGTTCCCTTTGGAAACGCTCTCATGCGGCCTGCCGCCGACTACAACTCGACTTTCTGGCAGTTTTTTTTTCTTTTTCTCTCGTCGGGTTTGGCCTTGGATAATTAGCCTACTTGTCAATAGCGTCATACCAGACGTCAAACCATATCTGGATGCCTACGTAACGCATAATTAGGTCACAAATCTCTAAGCAGATGGTTTGGTTCGATTGCCTAGCGCAAGGTGAGAGCAGCAGTACCAACAGTCGACATGTCTGATCTCCAGAAATCTGCTCGCGCCGGCCTCGGGGGGCCGAAATGGTCAATACCCGCCCAACCCTCAACCTTCAGCGTGACATTCTCATTTTGCCCAGAAACTCCGAAAAAAGAAAGGGAATGCCGGAAAATCCGTCAATGACGGGAACGCGGCGGAACGACAACCTGTAACAAGAACAGGAAAAAAAAAAAAAAGAGAGGAAGAGGACAATACAAGGGCAGCAGCAGCGTTTGATCGCCCAAATCAAGCCTTCGACAAGCACTTTTTCTTCGTCGCAGCGGTGGATCACCCGTTCCCCCGTTCCCCCTTCCCGTGTTCCATGTAGCAGTTTCCAACAAGCAAAACAGGCGTAGGCAGCAAAAAGAAGGGGGGGGGGGGGGAGAAGCTATTGTACCTTACCATTACTCCCCAGACCGTCTAGTTCATCCCCCCCCCCCCCCCCCCCCCCCCCCCCCACACGCCCCGCGGGCCTCCCCGCCCCCCCCCTCCCCCCCCCCCCCCCCCCCCCCCCCCACCCCCCACCCCCCCCCCTCCTCCCCCCCCCCCCCCCCCCCCCCAATTCCCCCCCCCCCCCCCCCCCGAACCCGGAATCCATAGGTCCGTCGGTGCTCTCTGGCTATCCCCTTCACTCCGTCCACCACACCCAACCCGGGACCCAATCATTCCCGTCGAGTTCGCAACTACGACTTGAAAGGAACTTGGACAAACTTGAGACGGTTCGCAGCCAAGAGGTTGGGGGCTGGAAGCAGCCGCCCAGGCTGTGGTGCTGTGGTGGTGCCAAACACTCGGGACCAAATTTGATAATCTATGCAAACAACATCGTGCCAAGATGGGTGGCTGCCGAGTGCATCGCATGTCAAATCGGCTCGCCGCGCGCCAAATCTGCATATGCCATGCGGCTGGGGCTGGACAAGCTACGTTCGCCAAGACTTGGTCCGTCATTTTTCAATATGTACCATTACGTATCTATAAAGATGTAGATGTTCCTCTGGTGCACAATGGTTCCCGCGACGAAATTTGAAATATATGTCATATTGCTTGCTGTATTTTTCGCTCTCAAAATTTCGTTTCACACGTTCGTGTCTCTATAGTTACTTTGTAGATGACGCACTTCGCAAATGCTCACAACAACCACACTTATTATACACTATTCACCCATTGTTCTTTCATGCCTCATGCTCCGACCCCAGTCCCCCCTCCCATTGTGTCATCATCGCTCATACCTCGGCAGCTGTTCTGAGCCTGCTACGTGGTGTTGGTGGCTGGATTGTCCAGTGCTTGCTTCTGTGCTGTAACTGTACTGCTGGCCGTAGTCGTCTTCGTCCGCTAATACCGGCGCCGACGGCTCGGCGACGTCTGCCAGCGGTGCTGACGCCGATGCACTCGGCCCCGCATCGTAGTCGTCTGGGAATTCCGGTGGCGCGCTGGCTTCGACCAACAGCCGTTGCCGTTCGAGCTCCTGTTTGTCTTCTGTCCGCGCTTCTTGGTGTGTAGAAATGTCATCCAGCGTTGGCGCGGATGGCTCTTCCTCCACTCCATTTGCTCCACGATGATGCGATTGCGGTACGGGCTGGGGCTCATCCTCGGCGTCGTAAATATTCGGCTCCGGTGCTGATGCCCCTGACGGGCCTGCTTCTGACATCTGGGGCGGTCGACTCGGTAAAAGTCTCTCCTCTTGACGACGTGCCCGCTCTTTCTCCGTCATCCTCCCCTCGTCCGGAACTTGTGGGGGAGGCACGTAAGCTGGTGCTTGCATCTCCTCGGGAGGACTCGTGGGGTGTATCGTGATGGTGGGCTGCCGGCTGAGAGGAGCTGGCATCTCAGGAGGCTGCGGCCAGTAGCTCTCACCGTCGTCTGCGTGTATGTCGTCGGTCGGCCAGGGGCTAGAAACCTCTTCCCTGCTGAGCGACCCTTCTCGCATTTGGTATGTCCGCAACGTATTACTCCGCCCACGCAACCTTGAGCTATCCGTAGAACCTAGAATAACCTCAAAAACGACAGAGATGACCCCTTTTTCGCGTCGTAACCGGTCCGTATCTAACA